GCTGGAGATTTAGCTCAGCGGCATAAGCGCCTGCCTTGTAAGCAGGCAGTCATGAGTACCGATAAAAAGGGAAAAGGAAAAAGACAAAAAAAAAAAAAAAAAAAAAAAAAAAAAAAAAAAAAAAAGAAAAGAAAAGAAAATGGGCAGAGTGCAGAAGAAACTAGTCACAAAAAGGTAGACAGCCTATTATCATTATTACAGAAAAATAAAAACAAAAATTCAAGGTATTAGAATCTGACCAGAACGTGAGTTCTCTTCCAAATTTTTACAGCAGAGATAAAGTCATATGTCTAATTAAAAATCAGTATGCATGCAGCCAAATATGTGAGTCAGCAGACCTTACCTAATTGCCATGCTGTGTTCCCTTTGAGCCATGTCATACCTGGCTAGCATTCTACTTTCAACATAGATGAAGACTAACATGTGCCCAGATAAATTTAGGGTTAGGGATCTTCTGACAGTTCTTACTGGAATCCCTGATGCACTCATGTCATTTTAACATGCTTTTTGGTGTTAAAATGATCAAAGGTACTGCATGGGAGAGGACTCTTCATGAGAATTTTGTTCACGCTGCTCAACCAAGCATAGCCTCCAGAATTCCTATACCTTGATCCAAAAATGAATGGGAGAGAAGATTAAAGCATAAAAGCCAGTGCTGGAGAAGGTAGGATGAAGAAGCCCAAGTACTAGAACAAATGAGGCAGTTAGGGAGTTCTGGGGCAGTTAAAGGCACTGACTGACCTTCAGATTTCCGGGTGTTAAAAAGGTCTGGTGATCCTCAACAACAGGCTGTAAGCAGCAGCTCCCTGAGGTCTCCAACAGGCACATTCAGTCCTGTCAGCCTGGATTCAGGCCTGCCAGTGCCACAAACAAACACGCACATTCTTCTCAGAGCTGACGGCATATACAACACAGCCTCTCTACAGGGCCTGTTTATTTAAGAAACCAGATGCTTTGATGTTGGGGTAGAAGTTGGGAAGTTATGCATAAAAAGACAGGAGCAGAAGAAGAAAAGAAAATGAGCAACATTTCTGGATTTATTAATCATGACTTTAAAAAGTTTTTAGGAACTTGTCAGATGATTTGTACACAGGAATGAGAAGTAAGGAAATTATGTCAGCCACCACTGTAACTCTGGCCAAGGCATTTCAACTGTTTCTTTAAGGCAGAGTTTCATGCCTACACTCAAAGGGGTGCTTACAGGGAGGAATGTTTTGAAGCAACCCAACTTAGCAACCAACATTAGTAAAATACTCTAGCCCTGCTCAATTTCTGTCATGTACAAAGTTTATACATGTGTGAACAGTCCAAACACTTGAAGGGATGAATCAGTTAAAAAGGTGTCTGAAAACAGTCTAGATAGAGGCAAAAGGGTGACCACTGAGTCTAAAACACAGCATTTATGAATGATTGGCAATGACAGAAATAATAGCTAATTACTGAGTGTCAGGCACTGTTCAAATGAGTTAACACATTATACATTTATACTTACACTCATTTATTTCATACAACAATTCTATGTATTATGTACTTTTATTATCTCCATTTTATAGATTAGAAACTAAGACACAGAGGGATTAAGTAATTTACCAACTAAAACACAGCAAATAAGTACTGCAGCCAGATTCAAATACAGACAGGCTGGCCTCATTGCCTGCCCTCACAAGGCTACATCCCCTCCTTTCCATGGCACGTCAAACCCCAGAACAAGATTAGGAAACATAATTTTTGATAAGCTGTACTAAGTTATTTTTTCTTTGTTTTCTGTTTTTAGCAATAGCCAATAGCTTTTATTTCCATTTTTAAGAGTCTATTACATTTACAATACTATAATTAGAAAAAAATCTTTTCCTCTCATCCCTCAAATCCCAAAATAGGACACTTAAATCAACATGACTTCTATGTGAAAAAATATATACAATACTGTCCACAATAGACCAAATACACTTGAAATAGATTCAATGCCAAGACAGAAAAGAAAGGGTATGAAAGAAAGCCTGCTAGAGAGAAGCAGGGAGGCCTGGGCAAGAGAACAGCCTGTAGGGTTTCAGGAGCAAGGAAGCTTGAGTTACAGCATTAGGGCACAGGTCTCTAAAGAGTATACTATAAAAGCACTCTCAAGCTTTAGTTTTACTTCTTTCCTTAAGATTAGTTAAATGCTGATATACTCTCACACGCCATAGAAACAGGTCTAGGAGATTTTCTAAAACCTTTTGAGGTTTTCCATTCTCTAGTCTGTTATTTTTTCTTGGTAACTTGGCAATCTCTTTACTCCAGATCCAGGCCTTTGGAGGGCATGCATATAGAATGATTTTATGAATTAATGTGGCTTGAAAAGAACAACATCGAGTTATAAGGAATAAAAGAACCAAGAACTTCTGATTTTTCTTGGGAGTTAACTCTTGTCATTGTATAGAAAAACTATTCTGAAAAGCATTTCCTTCCCCGGTTGTACAAAAATATGCAAAGTTTCTGATAAAAAGTTGTTCTGTCATGCTGACATTTTAATTTTACACTGTTTATAAGAGGCCCCTCAGTACTGTATCTCTTCAATACAGTTCAAAATTACTTACTATAACTTCTAAAAATACAGAATTAAAAAGCAGAGTAGACCACTATAAAATAGTTCTTGGTTAAGGAAGCAAAATCATTCATAGTCATGTACTTTACTCAGTCATGTCTAAGTCATGCCTCAGTCATGAGGACATTAACAAAGACTGCAAAGGGGCTGGGGATTTAGCTCAGTGGCATAAGCACCTGCCTTGCAAGTGCATGGTCGTGAGTTCCATCAATTGGTACCAGTAAAAAACAAACAAACAACAAAGGCTGCATTAAAAAACAAAACAAAAAACCAGAATAAGACAGGATAAGATCTCTGAAAAAGATACCCTACATGAAACAACTGAAAAAATACCTATCTTAAATCAGATTAGCTGAAAAATAAAGGAAGACAAAAATAAAGCAAAAAAGAATGATCAGAAAAGGAAGCTAAATGAAATGAAAGGAATAGAAAGCAGTTCCTTTACATATGTTCTTTGAAGAATGAGTGGTTTCAAATCCATCTGAGCCAGTTTTCTCCAATCTCTTGCCTTGGAATCAATATATTACAAATGACATATCAATTCAAACCAACAAGGAAAACTTGACTGTAGGAATAAATCCAGCAGTTGCAGCAGACCTAAAGGTAGATTAACCAGCAAGAGAAGAATCTGAAATATGGAATGAGAATGAAAAAATGGATGGAGTGTCTAGCTGGCCCAAGAAGCATGCAGCCCCTGTATACATTAAGCATCAGTGTTATAAAGCCTTTCCCAACTCCCCACAGTGAAAAGTAAATCTATAAAAAATTTTTATCAAACAGAGAGACTTCCTAGTACTTATTTCATCCCATTTGCAACCAACCTGCGCCACTATTCAGCACTAGTTTAGCTACCTTTATACAGTCAATGCTTGGACTGCATTATAATGCACAGTTTTCCTTGAATATCTGTCAGGCAGGTGCTTTATGCCACTGAGCTAATCCCCAGCCCCTTCCTTGAATATTTGTGCCTCAACGGCAAGTGCCGTATGTTCGGGGGTCTAAGAATGAACTCACAGGTAACAAAGTCGGTCAAGACAGTCCAAAGGATAGTAAGACTTGGCTGATATTGCAATGAAATGTGGTTACATATGGACAAGGGCAGGTACGGAATACTATTCACCCTTCTCTTGAAAGGGGAAAAGATGTAAGACAGAAAACATATTGAATCGAAATACATTCCGCAAATGTCGGTCATAATAATTTTAAGAAAAAAAGACATGTGGAAGATACTCAAATTGTACTGAAGTGAGAAGCCAGAACTTTACCAACAATTTTCTCAGTTCAGTAGCATGCCAAAGGTTGAGCTTCTGAAAGTCTTTTGACCAGCAACTGGCATAAAGCAGAATATCTGCAATGTGTTTCTTAGCAACTGAAAATCTTGTTACAACAGGATAGAGACATCCCAGTCAGAGTTCAATACCAAGAAAGAAGGTCAATTTTGAAGAAATAAGAGAAAGCACATACATAATACTATAACTGAGTTAGGGCTCACTGCTGGAATATTACAGAAGTCAATACTGTGGCATGAACTTTTAAAAGAAAAAGTGTTTCGTTGTAGGTCAAATGACAAGAAAACGGGAGCCACACTAGATCTGCCTCCTGGATGAGCTGGTAGCAAAAATTTCAGTGGGCTGATGGAATAGCTCACAACCAGTCAGTGGGCCCAGGTGAAACTTGTGTATAATTTTGGTCTGTCCTGCAACTCTCCACCGCTTCTCTCGCTTCTAATCTGGATCCAGAGGCCCTGTTCTCTTCCTCACCTTCCTCTCATGTAACTTGTGGTCCTACCAGCCTCTCAAGGTCATTCTGGGTCCAGTTCTAGGGTTTCGAAACCTCCATCCCATAAATTAGCTTGAACAGGGGTCAGGGAAGTAGTTTTATAGCTCAGAAATGTCATCTCATTTCCACAGTTGTTCCTTTAAAATTAAAATACACACTGTGACCTAACCAAACTGCTGTGGGCATTCTAAATGCCAGCCTCACCACCCTGAAAGTACTGACCCAGAGAGATCAATCCTCTGCTTCTGGGCAGCCCAACTTCTCCTGCAATCACTTAAGAGGTAATTATTCCTCCAGCTTCTCCGTAAGTAAATAACATTACCGAACCTGATTATTTATACAGTCAGAAAACAACGACGCTCAGGAGACTCTGACAACTTAAAAAAAAAAAAAGAAAAGAAAAGAAAAGAAAAGAAAAAAGAATGCGGTGAAAGTGGAAGGCTGCCTTGGCTGTGACGAAACACAGCCCGCGGGCCACAGCGTCCGGGCTGCCGGGTCGACCCCGCCCGGCGGGTTCCGAGGCGGCGGCCCGGGTCCCAGCGGGGCCCGAGGCGCGCGGGGCAGCGCGGGCCACCGAAAGGGGCCAGGACCGGGCCGCGCTGCGCAGTCCGGGTGGAGCCCGGGCCTGGCGCCCGCTCACCTGGTGCGTGTTGTTGGCCAGCTTGGCCACGAAATCCTGGACCTGGCCGCAGTCCGCATCCTCACTGAGCGCGCTGCGCCGCCAACGGCCGCCGCGGGGCATCGGGGCCGCGGCAGCGCGCAGACCCCAGCTCACACCGACGGGGCCCGGCCAGTGCAGCGGCGCTGCCGCGGGCGGCGGGGGCGAGTCTAGCCGGTCCTGGCCGAGGGTCGCCGGCTGCAGCAGCTGCAGCAGAAGGAGGAGGCCGAGACCGTGGGGCTGGCGCCAGAGGCCGTCCGCAGCTCCCCGGGGCCGCTCCATAGTCGCCGAACGCCGACGCCGCTGACACCTGCCACCCGGCGCGCCCGCCGCCCCCGCCGCGCCACACCCCCGAACCCGAGCGCCTCGCTCCTTGGATACGCACAGCCCGGCCTCTCCGCCCCCATTGGCCAGCCGCCTGTCCTTCTTCCCGAACCCACTTCCCATTGGCTCGCGTCGCCTCCGGCTTCGGGGGTCTTGGATTCGGATGCCAAAATGGGGGACTGATTGGCTGGAACGTGGCGGAGACGGCTGAGGTCATTCCCCACCCTCGCGCCGCGTCTCTCGGGCCGCTGCAGTTGGCTGGGGGGCTTCTTGCGAAGCCTATGGCTTCGAGGCCTCAAGACCCCCTAGCTGCTCTTTCTCTCCGGACCTCTTGCCCCCCCCCCCCCCGCCAACACTCCTAAAATTCCTGATTGGGACCGCGCTGGAAAATCTCTTTGGGGGAATTCCCTGAACTGGCTCAGCTGGGAAAAGGGGCTTCCTCATGAACTGGTGCTTCAGGTTCTTAAACTCGGCTTACAGGAGCAGGTACCTATTGTCTGCTGAAGCAGCGTCTGTCTGCCAAGAAGGTGAATGGGAACCGGTGTGGGGCAGAGCCTACCAAGGCAGACAGACACCAGGATACCCGTGACTCATACAAGCCCGAAGAAAAGTCTGTCCATCTGGTTTGCCCTCTTCTGCAGGGAGGTAGGCCAGAGGAGGAATTAATTTATGGCTTTTCCTGGAATTCAAATGTAGTTTGGGGCATTAAGGGCAAGTAAAGTAGTGCAGAATTGGTCAGTGCCTAATTTATACATGATTACTTTGTAGACGCACGTTTTACTAGTGTCTCAACCCTGCAGTGAGTGTTCTGCACAAGTTGAGTTCCAGTGTACAACCGTCTCTTTAAATTAGTACCTTGCCGCCAATAAATAAGGTCCCTACTGCACTTTTGCTTCTTACACAACTTCGAGAACATACAACACAGGTAAAACCAGTTCCAAATCCTTAACCTTACTAACTCCATCATTTCCCACTGCTCAAAGTTGTTCAGCAGAGAATGTAACTAGCCGGGCTTACTGACACACTTCTCAGCCACTGGAGAGATTGAGGCACAAGGATGGAAAACTTGAGAATAGCCTTAGCAACTCAGTGAGACCCTGTCTCAAAACAAAACAGTTTTAAAGGTCTGAGGATATATAGTTTAGTGGTACAGCACTTGCATAACATCTGTCCTGAGTTCAGTTTTTAATATCACCAATCCCAACAAAACAAAACAAAATATACAAAATGTTACACCTAGGTAAAGCAACTGAAAATTTCTTTGGAATGTAAACTGATTTGGTGCCTCCAAGGGGTTTGGTGCCAGTTGTAGGTTACAATGGTGCAGTGCACCAGACCTGGTATTTACATCAAAATATTCATCAGGTTAACATGCAAACAAAAAGCTTTACAAATTTGCATTTTCCCCCAGAACAAAGATAGTGAGATGAGAGAAGTGGAAACTTCTGGACAAGACAGTAAAATATTCACAACAGTCATCTGAAGTTCTCAAATACTAGACTAACAAGACAAAGCTGATGAAAACTGGTAAGCAGTGTTACTTTCTGTAATTACTATGTGTCAAATTATTCTTTAAAATACAGACTACTTTTAAAATTTATTCTAAGCATAGAGTTGATCATAAGACAGTTCTAGTAGCATGTGACAGTTGGGTGGGGTAAAGGGGATATAAAGGAATATTTCTTTGTTTGGGTGACAAAGATGAATGGTCTATTGTCTTACTGTCGGAAACGCTCAATAGTGCCATCTCCTGGAGAAATTACCAAATATCCTTCTTAACTGTATAATCACTTTTTAATGTGTTTCTTTTTAGTTACATGCTTACTGGTGTGTCCTCAAACTGTATCAGTTACTGGGGTCATGGTTACTTGCATATAGCACTAAGAAAGTGAACGACTAAATGCTTTTACTCTCTCATTTTTAGCTAATGACAGGCATAAAATACAAGTTGCAGTGCCTGTTCTTTGCAAAATACTTCACATAAGATTTTACCCTACTTGCAGAACTACAATACATAAATTTATTACTAAAAGCTGTGCTTTTAGAATAAATGTATAGCAAATTAAAACAAAGCAAGTTACACAACTCCATAGCTTTTCCTAGTAAGTATATCTCTCTGACACAAGAAACTTTACTACTTTACAGGAAATCAAAGTTCTCTTTGAAGAATGCACATTATTAATAGAAGGTAGAAAATGTACTCTTTTCTGTTATACTGTATAGCCTATTAGCTAAAGCTAAGAGAGCTAGGCCAACAGCTTTTCCTTAGTATTTTTTTCCTCTATGAGATTTCCCTACTACTCCAAAGCTGGTTATAGGGAACTAGGAAACAGAAGTTTAGTCTGTGGACCCATGGCCTTAAATTCTTCATCCATTAAGTAATGGTGATACTTACACTCACTTTTTAGTCTGAAGTAGAGTTATTTTTTAAATGTTCTCGCCCTCATTGCTGGGCAGGGCAAGGGTAGAGGGTTAGGGGCAGGGGTGCCAACTGGGTGGCTGCAGTGGTGGAAGGTCTCTGCATGAATGCAACGGGCACAGCCCAGAGTCCGAGTAATTTGTACTCAAAGTTCATAAAGTACAAAAGGATATGAAACAGAAGCAATAGCCATGTTTCCCAATTTCCAAAGGACACACTCAGTACCTCCCTCAGTGAATTATGTTATCAGTCCCACAAGATGCAGAACAGTAGTGCCTGAGCCTGACACGGGATTAAGCTCAGCCCTGCACCCAGTGCCAATCTTCTGAAACGAGAACATGCTGAACCTGGCACCTGACATCAGTCTCCTAGCATGAGCTCAAGTGAGACTACCTGGGTCAACCAACTGGGAAGCTGTAAAAGGACACAGCCATTAACTTGGCAGGCCACTGCCCCCTTCCTTGTCCTTGCAGTGGTCAGTTCTGCTTGCATGATACAGCTTTTTTTTTTCCTTCAGAGCACGTTTTTCTCCCTGAGCACTTTTTATTTCTGCCCTAAAATAAACAGTAATCTTTCCCATTCAAAAACAAAAAAAAATGGAATTCTCAATTTATATAAGGGCAGATTTAACAAGGGATGTTCATAGTACATTCAAAGCTTACTTTAAACTTCTCGATTTTATAATTCTCTTACTGATATGGCCTAGATTTATAACTGATTGCTAGAGAGGCCAAGATCATTAATTTTTTTTAGTCCTAAGCTGCATGAACAAAGACTCTCTTTCCAAATTGTCCATCAAGACACAAAAACTAGTGCAATATTTTAAATGGTATATATCAGCCCATCAATGTTTGGGGGTGCAGAGCAAACATGTTCTTTTGATGGTCAACTAGCTGCATCTCCTCATGTAAAAGGAGCAGCAAAAATAGAATAATTCCAGCTTTCTGGAAGGCTGAGGCAGAAGAACTAAAAGTTCAAGCTCATTTGGGGCAACTAAGTGAGACCCAATCTCAAAGTAAAAAAGAACAGGCAGTGTAGCTTGTTACAAAGTACTTGATCCCCAGGAACACACACAGAGAAGCAGAGGACTGAAATGGACTTACAGTGATATCAACATATGCTAACCAGTGGGAGGAGCTGGACTAGACTGTGTTTTTACCAAAACCTAGGAAATCATAGCTAGAGGTAATTGTGTTACAGAGAACCACTAAAATTATTTTAGAACAGACACTGGCATGAGAGTGACAAACATTTCAAAGATAATACTGCATTATAAGAATATAGACCACTAACAAATATTTTAAAATTTTCTTTATTTTAGAACTGCCTTTATGTACAGACATCATAAAAAAAATGCACATATACTGGAGATTTTCCAAGAAACAGGAGCTGGAAATAAAATTTAAGGGTAATCAGGAGAACAAAAACTGTCCCAGAGAAGTTCTGAGGATCACTCTTCCTTAAATGTCCTTAATAACCTCTTCAAGTTCTTCCTTTGTGAACATGTGGAAATTCTGGCCAGGCTGCACTGTAGCTAGCTGGAAAGAAAACGGGTTAATAAGCTGGGCTCAGTTACCCTGCTGATGGCCCTAGCATGGTTAGAAGTAGTATTGGTGATGCAGCTGTTCATTAGGAACTAAGGGATCTCCTGTCCCCAGGATATCCTTTCCAGGCAGCAGGTCCCTAAAATAGCTCTGACTCCAAAATAAAAATTCTTCTTGACCAAATTTTCTATTTTAATGGTAACCCATCACATAATAGTTAACCAAATGCTTAGCATTATTGTTACTTCTTGAAGTTACTTCAACAAGGATCACAAAAGCAGCAATGAAATACATGAAAGTCAATACGTTTTTCCTGTTAAAAGATTCCTTTAGAAATACATTTAAAGGGCTGAAGATGTAGCTGTGTCAGAGCGCCTACTTAACACCCCTAACATCCTGAGTCCAACCCCAACACACCCCATAGATAAATAAGTAAATAAATAAATAAACAGCATGTTTATATTCTTTCAGGTTGAGTCTGTATATGTGTTCTCTGGTTATTTGGCCACTCTGTTACGAGTAGTTAGGATTAAATGTTAATTTATGTAAAATGCTTAAAATAGTGACTAGAATGTAGTAAGTAACAAATAATTGTTAACTATTATTAGACATTCTCTCTAAAATTGTGTGGCTGCATAAGAACAAAAAGGTTTCCTTTGTTTTATAAAAGGACTGGCCATGAAAAGATTCCATTAACACTAGCATAGGAAATCAGTTGTGAATGAGGGTATCAGTCATAACTAATGGTCCAGATTATAATCTCTTAAAACGACAAAAAAGAGGGCCAGGGATTTAGCTCAGTGGCCTAAGCACCTGCCTGGCAAGCACAAAATCGTGAGTTCAATGCCCAGTGCTCCCCACTCAAAGGAGTCAAAAGATGGTAAGTTCAAATTTAACTAAAACTATCAGATTTTCCATCATCTCTGCTAATCATAGTCCCATGTTTTAGGGAAATGCTGAGGAACAGGTGCTATTCACATTTGTCTCAATAGCTTCTATGTTTAGTTTTAAATGTCATTTTCTCAGTCATTTTTATAATCTAAAAATTAAATATACTAAGGCATTTTAAAGTAATAGTCACTAATGATATTTAATGTAATTTAAAAGTTGACAGAATTAACTCAATTCAGCTACATGATATTTGTTCTCTGCCTCATCCATAAGTAAAATTCAGGATAAAGACTCCTGTACATCTTAAGACATCTGATGATCTCATCAGAAGACAGGCTAAAGAACTGAACATGGTGGCACAACGTATAATTCCAGTTACTCTGGAAACTGAGACAAGGATCACAAGTTAGAGACCAGCCTGGGCAATTCAGCAAGACTCTTATCTCAAAGTTAAAAATATAAAAAGCTTGGAGGATGTAGCTTAATGGGTAGAGTGCAGCTGGGATCAGTAGCCAGTACTGGGAAGTGTGGGGGTAGAGGGTAGGGGTTCTACAGTCTCTGGATTTTTCCAAAAGATATATTCAATTATATAAAATGTGTGAAGAATCCCAAATGTATTTGAAAAACATATAAACTCAAGTCAGTATAAACTATAAGTTCTTTCACAGGATTAAAAATATAAATATTAATACCACTTCTTTCTAAATTATAGCTTTACTTGATCAATGACATTGAATACAGTGGGACTGAAGGTCAATAAATTAGATGAGTTAAGGACCTACAGAATGTTTTGTTAGGTTACTCATGGCTTAATGGCTAAACCTTTCAAAACACTACACAGGCTAAATGAGCTGGACAGACCGAATAGAACAGTACTGTAGAACCAAGATGCAAACCAATACTAATGGAGTTTGAATCAACTACTGCTTTCACGAAGTTACTCATTAGTAAATCGGTAAAAATAAGTCCTTATGTTTACATAATGACAAATATGGTTTACATAACGAATATGAAAGTTACTTTTCTATTTATTATCACTTTCAAAAAGCCTTTGTGAAATAGTAGAATACCTTTTCATTTCTCCCATCAATTATTTATTTATTTACTAGTTACAGTTGTACTAGGGACTTGAGATCCAAAGATGAAGAGAACTCTTGTCTAATTTACTGAGAGTGGGGATGCCAGATGCTGTCAATGTCAGGTAAGGGTATATAATAGAATCAAATGTAGAATAGGACCCTGAACTGAAGGAGCCCAGGAAGACTTCAAGGAGAGGAAACCTTTGTATTGTATATTAACATGTTCTGACCAACTTGAACCACTGGTGGAACATGTGTGACTGTCTCACTAAATGGTACAAGCTGCCTGATTGAGTCATTATATATGGCCCCATTGTGAATGTGGTAAAGCATGGCAAGAATGGATCAGTCAAGGAGAACAGGATAAATGCAAGTGCACAAACATGAAACATGATGGATTTGCAAAATAAGGTAATATGGTATTACCACATTGCACATGGAATATGAGTTAACATGGAGCATAGGGGACCAGAGTTCACAGAGAGGGAGTATTAGGTCCTAATAACACAGGACCTAAACTCAGACCTGGATTCAAAGTTAGCCTTAGTTTCCTCCTCTGTAAAATGGAGTTGCAAGGATTAAAAGAAAAAAGTA